AGTAGATTCAAGCAAAAAGCAGCAAAAGAGGTTTTGGCTTGGAACTCTTAATTATCCGGAAATCTTTGATCTAATTTCGGTTTATTCCCACCACAYTGGAATTTTATCTCTCTTTGCTGCAATCACAGGAAATGGTTCTGCAGTCTAGTCAAGTACAGGTTTTCAAGATTTTAACTCTTCTGTAATCCTTCAGGGATAAATAGGAGCGGGATTTTTTAAAAAAATAAACCTATAGGACAAGCTGTGAGGAGAACTCTGTTTCAGTATGGAAAACATTCAGGGGAAAAAAAGAGCAGGTGACTAGGAGAGCTAAGAAAATAATTTTTATYTCTAAACGTTGTAGGCATCAGTGAATCATATTCCCTTGATCCTTATGAATGGACCCATATTTTATTCACTGCTTYGCCAAACACCCTCCRGCTCAGTTATTGATCCTAAATCTCTTTGACTTSTGAGTTAAGTGATCATGAAAAACATCTTACATTTTTTACCGTGGCATATGTAATTTCTTCCCCAACAGAGCCCRCTAAGATCAGCCCATATTTGTGCAGTAGCCATTCCTGAATGTGGCTTTCTGACAGTTATTTAACCATGGGAAATTTAAGAGATGCTTTCAATATTCACCTACAATAACCACTTTTTCACATAAGCCAAAGCCAAACCAGCAGTACTCTTAAGAGCCTGAACATTCCAAGAATCCTTCACTGTAAGGAGAGGAGATTGGAGAGAGCATCAGACTTTATCAGGAAAAGATTTACAGCMCTAGCGCAACCAAGGCTTCCCAGCAACTCTTATTTACCTTTTTCCCCTTCACAATCTTGCTACTTTTTTTGGTGCTTTGGAGGGCTGAACCAAGCCTAGTCCTCCCCCTGCCCATGTCTGAATCAGGAACATAAGGTCAGCTTGGCAAACTGAGTCAGTGCTCAACTCCTCTTCRTTATTCTGCTAAATGACCTATTTTTAAAGAAACACTGCCAAACTTCCTAGAATTAATCCTCCTGCCATTAACATTACCACAGCAGAACTTCCCCTTTTTTGATAAAGAGGGRAAAAGGCTGGATGATGCAATTTCCTTTTGTCAGCAATTACACTTCTATGAAGAGGTGGCTGTCAGCACTTACAGACCTTGCAGCTGCAAGGACTTTGTGGGACCTCACAGGCTACTCAGCAAGGGACAATTACAATTAGTGTTGTACCATAAGCTTTCCTAAATATGAGATTCCTTATCTGGATTCTTAAGAGAGACCTTTTTGTTGACAATCCAACCTTGAAAATCACAGCAATGAGAGTTATATATATTGATCTGGAAAGGCTAGGAAGCTTTTCTTTGGGCTAGTGTGTTCTTCCTATTTTAGGGCCAGGAAGAACCTTCAGAACATATGGAGGACTCAGTCCCAGAACCAGTGGGAAATTGACGTTCTGAGGCAAAAAAGAGAGGAACTGGGAGCTTTTTTGCCCAAAGTCCCTCCATGCTCATGCACCTCATAACTGGTGTCCACATGTTTTCCTGTTTCTTCCATCTGTACTGCATTGCTGAGAATCCCCACACTGCTCACATCTGAGCACTGGCTCTACTTACTATTGTCTGATGGACAAGGCAAACCAAGAGGAAAGAGGACAGTAATAGGACTGAAATACTGCTCACCTAATAATCTCTCTCCCAAGCCCTGCAGGGCATGGATGCTTTAGCCTCCAAATGCAGTGATGGTCTGGGAAAGCTGAGAAGAGTTATATAAGAGGTGTTAAAAGACTCAGATCATTGCAGAAGCTGGTTGAGGTGATGCACTCAGGGCATGGCCGCTTTGTTTATGAACTCTTCTCACATACCTGTTTTTTCCCTATGTCCTTTACTCTTCCCTGAACCACAGTCAAAAATGTAATGGCTTCATTTGATACATTAGGCAGCATTTGTTTTAAAGACCTCGAAATGATTTTCTAAACCCTGTTATGAGCTCTGAAGTCTGCTAGCCACTGTCCTGGTAGTCAAGAAGARTCATCACATCTCAACACATCAATGTGTCACCGTATCAGTGCAATCCAGAGATTTAGATTATTCTGGTTTATTTGTCTGAATTTTTAACTCGCTTAATCACCTGTGAGTCAGGGCCAATCTGCTACTGCTTATCCATCCTTTTTTCTGCTGCAGACTCCAGCTATTTGCATCTGGTTTGTGTTGACTTTTTGCTGGTCTCAATGCAGAAAGTGTTCATACTGAGGGCAGCACACAGATGGTTGCTTAACTTCRGGCACTGTACTTAAAACTTTAAATGGAGTCAACAGAACACGCTTAAAATTAAATGTGTCCATAGGTCTCAAWAATATTCAGAATAATAAAGAATTCAACTTCTTTAACTTACTAGTATTGGCTGAGGTGAAAGCATAAATGTAACTGCAGAAGGTTTGTCTTTTGATATGTGTTAGACCAGAGCTCAGGGCAACAGGAGCAACAGGGCAACAGTGAATCATATTCCCTTGATCCTTATGAATGGACCAATATTTTATTCACTGCTTTACCAAACTCTCTGGCTCAGTTATTGATCCTAAATCTCTTATACTCATGAGCTAAGTGATCCTGAGAAGCATCTTATATTTCCCACCAGAGCAAATGTACTTTCTTCCCCAACAGAGCCCGCTAAGATCAGCCCATCAGATTTTTGGGAGCTGACAGAGTTCAAYTGACCATCAGAATGACRACTACATTTCTGCAGTGCCTTTGAAGACTCTTGTATTTTAAAMTCTCATCCTCCAACTATATCATCCTCTGCCTAAAAGAAAGTAAATTCCTTACTGTAGCTGAAAAAAGATAGAGTTGATGATTTRTCAAAATGAATAGTGGCCTAACATGTTGAGAAGATGTGCTGTTGGCCTGAACTAGTGTGGTTTCATTTATGTCACTAGTACCAGGCAAATTTACATTGGTATGGATTAGGCGGCTTCTACCATATTTGTTAACATATTTCAAATTCTGATGACATTAATACCAATATAAAATTGTGTGGAAGCCTTTTTTTTTAATGCCACATCCTTCATGTCTTTAGGAAAAGGAGTCAAGAATACTTGAAAAAAGTAAATAGAAGCATAAGTTTCCCTAGCAAAACTTCAAGATTGAGCTGAAAAGGGTAGTGAAGAACACATTTCTGCTTTTGCRAAGGCACTTACAACTTTACTTTTCATTAGTGTGAGAAACAAGTTGAATGATTGGATGAATGTGCTTATTTGGGACCTGAAGGTGATCCAAAAATGGGTCGGGTCCTCTGGTAGAGACAAATGTACAAAGCAAGAGAACTGCACCACCATCCACAAGGTGACGTGGTGTGTGTGTTTTGTGATCATGTGCTTTCCGTACAAGCAGCGGAGCAGGGTAAATATTCATTCCACATGTTACACAGCATCCCCCTCTCCCTCTGCCTCTCATGTAYCTAATGGGCTGTGCCAGGCAGCTCACAAATGGATGCACTCTTCAGCCACGGTAATAACTCTCCTGGGTCATTAGACTGGGACTGATAGCGCAGTTTGTGGCTAGAAATAATGGGTTCTGTTGGTCGTATTTAAAGATGTTTCCCTTAAACATTTTGGTCTTTGTAAAAATAATAACAAAAGGGATATAAGGAAAACTGCATGGCRCAAACAGTATGCTGTTGTGAGTGARCTYGATATTTGGGGTRTTTTTCACAGTGGTCCTAAAACCCTACAGATCCATAAGCTAACTGCTGTACCTCTGGCATTTTTGTCAAATTTCTGTTAAAAATATGTAAGGATGTGAATCTTCACATGCAGTGAAATTGTTTTTGCACCTTACCATGCACCTCTTGATGGCTTTTGCTTCTGTCTGAGCTGTAAAGGTCCTCAAGGGGCACTTGACCCACCCCAACATGTACAGGAGGGTCAGCACAGTARTGCATGGGCAGTCCTGGAGGTCCTTGGAGTACATCAGCTTCTTCACCAGGTGACAGAGGAGCCAAAGGAGAGGTGCTCACTGGACATCAGGCTCACCGAAAGAAGCTCACTGGGGATGTGAAGGTCAAAGGCAGCAGTGACAGTGAGATGGTGGAGTTTGGAACTCCTACTTACTGGAAGCAGGTAGGAAGGTAAAAAGCAAACTCACAACACTGGAC